TCAATCCCTAAATCTCCAAACCCCTAATCCCTAAACGGTCGACAACGCACTCGTAACTCCTTGTTGCGGGTGTCCATGGGCGGCGCTAATTGCTTACCATCAGGTAATCCGTCTGCTCGTTTGCCGACCTATTACATAAAAAAAACCTCCATAAGTTGCGATTTGTACAAATTTAATAATGAAAAGTATCGTTTTTACATTTCAATAAGGACATTGTGCTGAACTACTAGTTATCAGCTACCGTATTGACAAGCGTACCTTCTTAGCGTTGATCTTGTAAGCCGTGAACCCATCAGAGAAGAGGGTGTTCTCAGCGATGATTAGAGAGTCCGGCACACACATGGCGATCGGACGAAACATGGACTTCAAGTTGTCTGGCAACTCCGTACGACCCGCGTAACTAATTATAACAAGTAAGTATCCATTGTTATTTTGTCCTATATTTTAAAGCAATTAAATACCAACTCTACTCTTTCTTAGTCTAGTTGGTGTTCAAAGTGTCGTTTTCAAACTACGTAGGTTTCTATTAAAAAATACTAAACAAAAATATGACAACTAAACTACATAGAGTTACTTTAGAAATATCAAAATCTTTCAGTCAGTATGACCGTCCACGAAGCTAAGTGATCGTTCCAAAATTTAGATTCAAATGGAGAAGAACGAGAAACAACTCAATCGTTACTCTATTAAAAAATCTATTTTAAATCTACGAGTGACATTGCTCATAATTTATATATTGTAATACAACATAGTAGGAGGTTGCCCGTCTAGTTTCGAACTACGACAGGGGCTCACAATTATGAGTAGCATAATCAAGAACAAGTCGAGTAGCAAACTGGCAACTTCATTGGCCAGTGACTCTATACCTTACAAGAGCTTTTTAGCAGGACTCATGCTTATTATCAAGATGAATCTACATCATTTACTTGTTCGTTTGTATGAATGCGCTAATCTCCGGAACTACTGGCTCGAATTTAATAACTCTTTTTGTTTTGGAAAGACAGTTTATCCTGCTTTATATAACACTACGACCAATAGGAATTAAGTTATGAATAATTCCTAAACAAACTAACCCAGGGTTCATAGTAATAAAGATGCCGCAATTGGAATCCAGTTTGATATCGAAACCCTCAAACGTGAACCGCTTCTGGAAGAGTGAGAGAGCCAGCAGCACTGCCAGGATCTGCTGCGCAACTACTGAGAGTACCTCGATGTTTATACGGTTGAACTCGTCGAAACAACCCCAGCAACCGCTTTGGGCGATACCTGACGAGAAGGACTGTCACTTGAGTTTTAAAGATTATCTATACCTACTAATATTATAAAGAGCTATTTGTGAGTTTGTATGTTTTGTATGTAGGGGGTAATCTTTGGTACCGCTGCTTGGTCGGATTGCCAAAATTCTTTCACTGATAGATAATAATATAATAATATAATAATAAAAAATAGATAACGTCAGTTTTCTTTCGCAAAGTGACAAAAGTTGTTGGACAAGGGATAGGTTATTGTACGCACTCTGAGGACTCTCTCCAAGACTGGGAGTACCTTATAGTCACAAAAATTTTAACGGTATCAGTGTAACTTTTTCGTCGGTATTCACTCGTATTACATGAGACCACTCCTTTTTCACATCACACATCATCAGCCTAAAAGTGCCCACTGTTGAGCAAAGGTCACTTCTAATACGGAGAAGGTTTGAGCATTAATCACCACGCTTGCTCAAAGCGGATTGGCAATTTCAAAACGTATAATTAGAAATAATTAGTCCAGGTTTCCTCGCGATGTTTTCCTTCGCCGTAAATCAGTGGTGTCTAAACAACGATATTTGTAAGTAGTCTGTTTAAAACGATGTTACGTTCTTAGAATCAATGAAAAAATTACGTAGTCGGACGCATTTTTTTTAATGTTCTTTACCTCATTTCTAAGTAAATAGGTAGGTATGTAGTGATACCTACTTCAAACTGTCATAATGAGTCAGGATCCACAAGTTATAACCCAGATTCTTAAATCAAAATAGTTATAGCAGGAGAAGCATCCACGGTTAACTTACCAGCAAAACATTTAGCCATGGACTTATAATCGAGTCCATCCGAGCAGTTTGTGACGACCACCCATCTGGCTAGGGCTCTGCCCAGGTCCTTCACAGTCTCAGTTTTGCCGGTACCAGCTGGACCTTGAGGGCTTCCACCACGAAACAGATGCAGTGCCGTGGTTAGGGTAATGTAACATCTGTAGTACAGATTTGGAAGATAAAACATAAGTTACGCTTCTTTTGAAAGAACATAAAAGAAGAAAGTGGTTTATATAGTTTAGCTAAATCATCTCTGGTGAGAATTGTAAGTGATAATGAAAGACTTCTTAAACTATGATTCTTATAGGACAGCAACTGGGAACCAGAGGAAATACAAGTCCCTATTAATGAATAGCGTCATGATTTGCCACAGTTGAACATTTGTTTTCACTGCACCAAGTGATTAGCACGGTTTTCTCACACGTGGTTCCGACACGACCGGAGTTATACCATAGCCTCACAGAAAACCGGCGTAAAACACTTAACTTTGTGTTTCGCCGTGTGAGTGAGGTTATCGGTGGTCCAACCCTCAACTTTTTCACCCCCAAAACTTCCGCAACGCACTCTTAAGCTTAAGTGTCTATGGACGCTGCCGATTGATTACCATATGACCCGTCTGCTCGTTTGGCTTAAACTGAACCTTATTATTCATCAAATGTGGGAGACCCACGCTTCGGCACGAATCGGTCAGCTCGACCGGAGTGATACCACGGCCTCACAGAAAACCGGCGTGAAATAACCAAAGAGTTGTGTTTCGCCGTGTGAGTAAGGTTACCGGAGGCCCAATCCTTCCCTGATCCCAATCCGTTCTCTTTCCGAAAATCTCCAAATCCCTAATCCCCGAAAGGTCGACAACGTACTCGTAACTCCGCCGTCGTTGCGAGTGTCCATGGGCGACGCTGATTGCTTACCATCAGGTAATCCGTTTACTCGTTTGCCGACCTATCACATAAAAAAAACAAAGCTTATAAATGTTATTTGCTTTCACCTGTCAGTAAGCGGCGTAATGACGAGCCGGCCAGAGTTGCCGATGTACTCGTAAGTGTATATGGAGTTGGTGTTCGTCTGCTTGATGTAACAATCCTCCCTCTCTCGGTCCCAGTAGAACTTCAGCTGCGAGAACCACTCGAACGCAGTCACATTCATACACCCTACATTTTTAATGGAACGTGTCAATGTCTATCTAATGTCTACTTTCAATATGTCCAGCAAGTGTCCGCCGATGGAACACTTAAGAATAAAGACTAAGTTGCCTAAAGACTTTTGTTTCCTCAGGAACGAGACTCGTGATGGCGCTCCGCAAGTCCGAGACCACGTGCTTACATGGCCGTCCGAAGGCGCCACCTCCGAATAAGTCCATTTGATGGTTTTCCCCTCATAAAAAACGCTTGTAGAAATTATCAAGTGCCTCTTCCGTTTGCAAAAATGCCTAAGGCAACCGTCACAGTAAGTCTTGGGTACCTAAATAATTATGGATCAAATATTTCGGTACCTAATGTACCTAGTTTCTTATGCTTCCACCACAAGATTACTGTGGTGTCCCACGATGTTGGATTCACACCAACTCTTAAGTGATCCACAAATTGTTCTCGCGGGTCTGGGTGCGATGTGTATGTGAAATTGAATGTTTCTAAACAAGAAAACCGCACGTTCCTCCCAAGCGACGCAAAAATGAATATCTTAAGAGCTGGTCGACAGACGATTTCGACAGAATCTATTAAGTCTGTTTTAAAACCTTATACTGGTTGTCTGTTGAGTACTCGATCTTTAAGTCCTTTTTGTAAGGTATGCCTACTCAATTCCTAACAGCAATACTAGACTTAAGAACTTACCCATCTTATACATCCTATCGACGGTATCCCTAGAATGTATCTCAATAACACACAACGCATTAACTTTAGCCCGCAAAATCTTGCTGATCTCCTTACGAGACATCATCTGTAGTGTGGTAAGAATTTGATTCTGTTTCTTGCGCAATTTCTTTAATGGTTTCTTTTCTTTCATTATTTCGCAACGACATAGTGTTCGTGTGCATTCTGAGGTCCATTGAATCTAGTACGGTGAAACATACGGTTAATAGGATTAGAATTATATGATAGCAGAATATCTCTGCACCCCTCAAATTCTCTTCATTTCGTTTTACGATTGCTTATATATACTTAGATATGAATTTGTTGTTCTTACAGTAAGTACTTATAGTTATTTTTTACCACTGTTACAAATTGGCACCAAACATTTCGTCTCCTTTTTATACCCTAAGATCCTACGTCTCTCCTAACCTCAGCTACGTCTTTGGGGTACCCAAATATAGCCCAAATGTACCCAATGTAGCTGTCACCTTCATTGTAAGGTGCCGGGGTTGCGGGGTAAGCGCAATGAGGCACCGCGACCTCGGCCCAAAGCAGGAGAAGGAACAGTTTTAAGGGGGTTTTTAGTCAGTAAGAGTCTGACACTCCCTCCCGCCCGGCCCTGGGCGGGAGAAGTCATTTGATGATTTTTCCCTGACAAAAAAAATCCCTTCATTGTAAGGTGACAGCTACATTTTACCAGTTATAGGGTTTTGTCCAAAACCCTGACCCCCAAAAAATCTGCGCGAATATGCAGTTGATAGACAAGGCTCGTACCCGGACAGAACAAGACCCAAACGTATGGTGCACGCCTTACACCGCTATCAGACTGTCACAGGCGGGTGCTATTAGGAACGATACTGATCAGGAGTTGGAACAGGGTGATTTTTAGTCTGCAAGAGAGTCTGACACTTCTTCTCGCCTCACAAAGAGGTGGATGAGTAATTTGAAGTTCTTTCACAAAAAGGCTATTACTAAAAAACTATACTAACGGAAGTAAAGGCCCTTTCCCCGTAACAGTCATGTCAAAACTCGATAGTCATAACTCGACAGCCTTTAAGAAAAGACATAACCTAACCTTGCTAGCAGTGATCCCAAGTTGTCCCGGCCAGTCGTTGATCCACTGCTCTCTTTGATACCGACACTTCCTTAGAGCCGCTCTCGTCAGTATCAATTGCTAGAAGTTCAATTTTAATGTTACACTATGAAGGTATCTTTATTCTCTGATGAAGAAGAGAGAAGTGGAACTACTGCTAACACATTAGTATTCCATATAGGTAGGTACGGTCAGCATCAAAAGTTGACGACCACATTTAGATTTTCAAACTAAAATTATGGGTGTTTAGTGACATTTGACAACTAGTGTTCAGATAATTTTGAACTTTGGATTATAGTGTGCAGTGGTTTTGAAAATCTGAATGTGATCATCGACTTTTCATGCTGACTGTACAGGACAGTGGTTTAGACGCTGTGCCTACCGTGACCTACTGTGAATTTCATTGAATCAACTTTGACTAGTTTGACTTGACAGCAGTCGGGTTAGGTACTTAGAAACAAATAAGAATTTTCCAAAGTTTCAAATTGAACAAATCAATTTGTAATAAATCATGGGAAGTGCTGAACCAATTTTACCTTATTTCTTTTTTTAAAAAAACGTTGTCCCACACTGGGATTTTCTCCGTGGCCGTGGGTGCGTTTACAAACATACAAATTCACATACAAGCCACGTGCCGCGCAACATGTCGCGGATTCGATTCCCGTACGGAAAAACTCTTTGCGTGATCGACAAATTATTGTTCCGGGTCTGGGTGTGATGAGTATGTGAAATTGTATGTTTATAAACGAACCCACGACGGAGTATAAAAAGACAGTGTGGGGCAACATTTTTTTTTTTTTATATGTAATAGGTCGGCAAACGAGCAGACGGATTACCTGATGGTAAGCAATCAGCGCCGCCCATGGACACTCGCAACGGAGGAGTTACGAGTGCGTTGCCGACCTTTTAGGGATTAGGGATTTGGAGATTTAGGGATTGAGGAGGGATTGGGGAAGGGGAAGGATTGGGCCTCCGGTAACCTCAACTACATTTTTTTATGTTCAATTCCAACCATTAATTCCCGAGATTAACAAACAATCTCTAGATACTACTCATTCTACTAAGCTACCACCGTTATATCTACGAAATCTACCAACAAATAGGTCTAATCTGTTCTCAAAATCTACAGCCGAGTTTGAATAGCTTACATCTCTAAGCACCACCCTCATGGTATGTTCTAGCCCTTGCAACCACACCTCCGCGGGGCCATCCAACAACAGATTATACTTCCATTCAACACACTCTCCATCCTCTGAAGTCATGGCTTTAGCCACTGGTAGACCCATTGGATTCTGAAAAATGGTAATAGAATGGAACTATTTAAAAAAAAAACAAATACCATCATTTATTTCAAATTAGACTCATACATGCACTTATAAACATAAAACAAAATTTTAAAAGTGTGAGGCTGTCAGTCTTCTTAGTGACGCTATTTGCTTGTTCCAAAGTGAAGATTTTTTTTATTATTAAAGTGTCATATAATTTTTATTCCATATAGTTTAAATTGAATAGTTTTAATTTTGGTGATCAAAACATTGTTTAGTGCCAAGTCAAATATTTTTTTAACAAACTAGCTACTAGCTAGCCTTTTAAAATTGTTGATAGAAAAACAATCTAACACAAACATCAATATTTCTTGATTTGCTTACCAAATCATTTTTATAAAGCAAATCAGTACAGGTAAATAAGATTTTGTAACTCACTGTTAAGTATACCTGTGTAAATACATTTTGTACATAATAAAATACTGTCTAGTAATCACCAAGGATAATGGTATTTCTTTTTTTACTTAGTCCAAGTAAGCTTAATAGATACACTAAAACAAATTTTATTAACAAATATTTATTACAATATTAATTACTTACATGTACCAACAACACAAACTTATTAGCTATTCAGTCATTTTCAACAAACAAAAACATTAGTTTTATTACTATTTAATACTGAAATTAAAAACCTAAGACTCTTTGTCAGTATCTTTATATCTGGTATGTGTAACACCATGTATTTTCTCAGGTAATGTTAGTAAGATCTTGAGAACAGCTTTCTTTACGTCATCAGAGCGACATGACCAGACTAAGTGCAGGTAATCATTCAGTAATCCCAGTGCTTGAGAAGTTGGGTGGTACATGATGAGAATTAGTAGAGCCTGAAAGGATAGAAACAATAAAAAAATTCTATGTTGCCATAATTCATGTTGGTAAAAAAGTTCTGACAGTCAAAACTTTTATTTTTATTTTAGAGTTTGCTCAAAATTTGCTCATGTGTCATGGGAGTGTTTACAAAAATACAAAACATGTTTATATGATACCCAGATTTTAAACAACAATTTGTTGATCATACAAAGTGTTGTTCTATGTCCAACCAACCCATGCATTTGCAATTTTAATTTGTAAGAGGTTACTATTGTCGCTCATAAGCTAAATTAATGGCTCAGCGAGGAACAATAATATCAAAAATATAGTTTTGACACATTAATGGAGCTGAAAACAATAACAAGAATATTTTAGGTGCAGGATCTGCCTTCAAAATTTGTTTGTTGGCAATTAATAACTTAAAAATCATACCCTAGTATACAAAGCAGCTTCATTAACATCTTTCCAATTGTGTTCCCAGGGAGGGCACTTCTTCAACAAGTAAAGAAGTTTATTCCAATTATGAGAGTAAATAGCCTTGCAGCAAGCTATCCGATGCAGCGATTTAAATGTCCTAAGATCCTTATCTTGATACTTAGCATTATTTCTGCTCTGTTGTAGTTTCAGCAAGTTCCTTTTACAATATATCTTGATTGGGTCAAATGTCATTGGAGCTTCTATAAAATCTATCACTTTTGTCTGAAAATTTTTAAATTTTTATTGGTAAATAATGTAAAGGATAACAAGGTTAGTTTAGGTTAGCGGAACTAATGAAAAATATAGTCCAATTTAATTAGAAAATTATTCAACTATTATTCCCATAAAGGAAGGCAAGATATACTCTTAATAAAAAAATATTTAAAACCATTGTTTCGTTTGAAAATTAAGTGTTTTACTTACCATAGTACTCATAGGGACATAATGACATTTCTCCAATATTTCTTCCATTGTGAAACTCGGTTACAAAATTCAAATACCCCGTAACTTCTAAATCGGATTCGTTTTAAGAGATCTATAAATATAGAGTAAACTCCAATGTTTTGCGATTGAAATTCAAACCAAATCACAACAAACTTCTGAAACTTTTGAAACTTTTGACTTTGACACTTTAGTTTCACTAGAATTTTGACATTATTAGTGTTGTCAGATAGTGTTAACAATAATCTACCCTTAATTTTATAATAGGTCTAAAATTATAAATTACTTAATAATTTTGACGGCAAGCCGAATTAAGTAGTAAATTAACTATTTATAAACAATGATTTTATTACCTTCTCAATCCTTATTCTTGTGACATTATCAAATAATTTCTTCAAGTGAACTTGTATTAGAGACGGTTTCTTTGAATTACCGAGAATTTCTAGCATATCGTCATTAGATATAAAGTAAAACCTTGGAAATAGCTGACGTTTAGTCTCTAGATATTTCTCTAAAGCTCGGAGAATGCCATCCAAATTATCTACCATTTGATTCAATTTATTAAACAAGTAAGGTTGCGGTTTGTATATGCAAGCTTCTATTGCGTTTTTCCCAGCATGCATGCTGTTAATCAAGTAATATTTTTATAACTTTCTAAATGTAGCAATAAGATGTATAAACAGATAATATTAACAAGTTTCCTTAGCTCACCTAGCTGTAATCTCTGTCCAATCGGCAGTAAGAGCATCAAATACCAAAACTTCTGCTGGCAATTGCTTTCTGATATCTTCACCAGTAAAAATAGTTTCCAGGTAAAGATAACGCCGCTGAACTTGTAAGGAAATCTGTTTGAAGAAAACTTTTTATAAACTAAAAATTGGTGTAATAAAACTCTAAACTAAAAAATAAAATTATACCTCAATACATTCAGCGACATATCCCAATGACTTTTCCCAGTAATCTACTTCTTTGATAAACGGTTCAACATATTTTGTTGATTTCATGGACGAAAGCTGTACTTGATGGTCTTCCAGAAACTAGGAAATGATAAAATTATTAAGTAATTCACGTATTTAGCTCAACTTTCTTCCCATAGCTATATTATGTTATGTAGCAGCAATAATTACTACGAACCTGCATGACATCATCTACAGTTTTAATCTTATAAATATCTCCTTTATGGTGTTGCATTTCAAATGTCGTACTTTTCCAAACTTCTCTGATTGCTTTAAGCCCATTTTCAATGTTAAGTTCCATAGTGGCAGCATTGGAGATTTCTGATATTTCTTCAGCATAAGCTTGGAAATTTAGTTTCATGATCAAGTCCAATTTAAAATCTTCCGAGTTCTGATCAAATTCTCTGAAGGTGAAAAACAAGTATAGGAAATATCTATTCTTCTAATGTAAATTCGAGGTGGTTCGAAAAAAACAATTTTGTTAATTTCCAACTAATTTATTTTTATTTTCGGTACATAGTTTACAAAAAAAAATGTTTATCAATTGTTATTTAAACACACATAATCAAGCATCTGTATCTCACAAATGCCTTGCTCACAAAGAACACCAGTGAGCGAGGTTTGCAAGTTTCCAGATACTAATATTATAAAGAGGTAAAAATTTTAAGTTTGTATGTATGGGTAATCTTTGGAACAGCTCTGGTCAAATGGCCAAAATTCTTTCACTGATAGATAGCTACAATATTCATGAGTGCTAACTAAAAAAAAATACGCTACGATTAAATAGAGCCGAGCAGCGAGTGAAACCGCGTTAGAGGAGCTAGTAATAGCATAAAACCGTTAACTACTTACACGCCCATGAGCGTCTTAATTCTATCCCAATGGCGCTCCCTCATGCACGGATTCTTCAAATCACCGATTAGAGGTAATGTTCTTCTGAATGCATCTACCTTAATCCTAGTCGTGTCAATGATTTCCCAATTTTTTTCTTTTAATTGTCGCGTCAATTTGTTCAGGTTTCTGTAATTAGGTATAAAATTAATTTATTTCAGTATGCCCTTTATTTATTTTGGACGTAAACACTAATATTATTGTTACAATAATTAATTATTCAAATATATCTTTTCCTTACTTCATTTCAACTAACCCATTTTATAATGGTGCATATTATATAAATACGCAGGTAGGTGTATATTTAACTAAAAATCGCGGGTTACTCACGTGTAAATATTGAGAAAAGCTCTACTAGTTTCGAACCACAGAGGGGTTCTTCCTCATGAGCAGCGTGCGCGGATGCGGCGACGTCGCGCAGCCTACTGAGGCTGTAGTGTGTAGCTTTTCTCAATATTTACACGTGAGTAACCCGCGATTTTTAGTTAATTTAGTATGTCTCACGATAGTTATTATAAAAACATAGGTGTATATTTTTATACGTCTCTTTATATCCTATTAAGACTTTACCTGAACAAATACATAACATTCTCTTCCATTTCATCAGTCTCCATTTCCCAAAACGTTTGATTTTTATATTTTTCCCAAGACTCTTCCCACTGATTTACTAGACCCCAGACTTCTTCCAGTTTCTCCAATTCCTTCTCCATCTTCAGAAGATCCAGATTCACTGGTGTACTATAAATGAAATTAAATTTGAATGGCACATTAATACACTATTCCTCTTTTATTTACATCAATCAGACTTAATAGATGGTTATTTAATTAACGTTAAATGAAGGGTTTGCTACGCCGCTAATAATTTTTCTGTGCGTTAACTATTAAAAAATACTTCTTTACTTTGCCTTTTTATATGCCATATTTATTTATGGTTATACTTGACTTACTTGAAACTTCTACTACTAATGAACGAAACAACGGTAACCAATTCAATATACGTCACTGCAGTTTTATATGTACACTAAATATAAAATAGAAGCCATTACGTCAGATTGAATACAGCAAGGCCATCACGTATGGCTTGTTCTTGTGCCCGTAATGCATTTAGCTGGTCTCTGAAAGCTTTCAACTGTGCCAAAGCCTCTTTGCCAGTTGATTCAGAAGTAACTGGTGCAGTTTTATAGAATTCTTCACAAAATTCTTTAGCCGCTTCTTTAAAAACCTGAGTAAAATATTATTCAGATCGGGCGATTAAAAATCAATGTGCATTTTTAACATTAGTGTGGCTCTTATTTGAAATAAAGATGCAACAAATCTTACTTCAGCTTGATCCAACAGACCAGTTTTGAATTTGTCTTTGTTTGCCTCAAGATTTTTTTTAGCCTCTTCCAAGACACTCAAGTATTGTTCCCATAGCACAGGTATATTTTCATGACGAGTCGTCATATCAGAACCGAGTTCAACCTCGAATTTAGCTAAAATGTGAAGTCGAAATAATAATTTAAAGAAGAAGCATCTGCATAAAATTTTATTTACTTTTGATTACCGAATATAAGAAAAGCTATATGAATATCTTACCCAGTGTCAACATTTGGTCGGTAATGGGAGGAAATGTTTTTTCCATTTGAATTAGTTCTGATATCAAACGATCATAAGTTTCAATGCTCACTTGCAGCTCTTTCAAATCTTTCGGGACCTAAATCATGCAAATATTATATTAGTCTCATCGATCAAAACGGCACTGTGATACGAATTAATAAAGAAATTAAAACCCTACGAATCAATCAAAACCATCTCACAAACCTTCATTGCTTCTTCACTGCTCTTTTCGACGTAATTATAGACTACATCAATATCAGCTTCGGTAATATTTCGTAATAATTCTCCTAACTTAGTCTGCCAAATAATGCAGTGAGATATGATAGACTTCTTCAGCTCACTGGAGTTGAGGGTTATAAAATGAATCTAGAAAATATAAAATAAAACGTTTTTAATCACGTTTTGATCCACAAAAGTGCATTTCATTGTGTATTGTGAAATCTAACCTGATTGACGGTTTCTTGAATTTGAATAGAGTTGGCAAGATTACTGTAGTTTATAATAAGATCATCGAATTCTTGTGCAGTATGCTTTTCATTTCTGTATTTTGTCAAAAAATCGTCTTTTTCTACTGTCCAAATATGCTTGTAGGGATCCCACATTGTTAAATGTTCAATAACTAGCTCGATGTTATAATCAATTTCTGAAAAAAATGACAGTTACATAGAATATCTGGGGAACTGGAATCTGAATACTCCAAAATATCTCATCTATATCTTTTTTTTAACAAAACCAGAAACTTTACCCTCATTAATCAATTTCTGCAATTTATTACAATCTTGATCCAAGGCTACAACTTCAAAAAACATTTTCAAGCCTGCGGCAGGTAGCGAAAGTTTTTGATACAGACGGGGAATAGTACTCATTATATGGACAATTTCTTCAAGAACTGTCGTGAACGTATCTCGAATTTCTAATGCTGAGGGAATGTAGGTTATATTTTTCCCAACAAGGTAGAGATCCATCTTTAACAATGGTGATGGAGCCATTGTTCCTGAAATTGTATGATTAAGTACATAAAACATTTTATAGATATTTACGTATATACACCACCTGGAATCTAATCTAACTATTGATCTGTTTGCAAATGGATGGGAGGAAGTTTTTTTGGAATACATGAAGTACTGCGAGAGAAACTTAAGTTCTTGTGTTTTGTAAATACGTGTTACAATTTGTAATACGTATTAACATAATTAAATAAAAAATAAAAGTAGTGTGAATTATGAAACATTATCCTTATTTTCTTACATCTGTACAGATTGAAAGAAATTCTTTCATAGGGAAAACCCTTTAGATAAATACGACTTACCATCTCCATGTACACATTTATACATGTTTTGCATAGTTGATTTTATGCCCAATCTCAAAGCATCTTCTAAAAGTATATCAAATCGTCTAACATATTTAATCCAGTGCTCTGCCATCTTTAAGACAAGGATAGAGATTTTGTTAGTTTTTGTTTGTATACTTAATATTATTTGATAATAGTTTCTTTTGTATAAAATAAATTTAGTGTTTTGTATAAAATGACATGCACTTAGCTACATATTTGTGTTGTTTTACATAATTTACTAGAATTACTAGAATTACCTGAGTAATATGAGCTTCGAACCCTTCATAAACAATGACAAGGTAAATTACTATAAGTTTGTACATTTCTAATACAGAATCCATAGCTGCATTTTCCATTTTCCGTATTTCCTGTCTAAGAACTTTAATTTCAAAAACGTTATAAATATCAAACTCCACGAAAGGAGTATCACAAATCTTTTCCATAATTTTTACTAAATTAACATTACAATTTTTGTATGTAGTGAGGAAATCTTGTAGCTGAAACAAAATTAATAATTAAATCAACGTAAATAAGTGGGAATGAAAATCAACGTAGTTTAATGGTACAATGCGGGAGAGCCAAGCCTCCCTTATCCCTTCCCCATCTTAAAATATCCGCAACACTTACTCCTAAAAAGCTGGCAACGCACTCGTAACTCCTTTGGTGTTGTGGGTGTCTATGGGCGACGCCGATTGCTTACTATCAGGTAATCCGTCTGCTTGTTTGCCGACTTATGCTATAAAAACAAATGAAGTAGCATAGTTAAGTTAGCATAGAATGGGTCGGCTCGACCAGAGCGATATACCACGGCCTCCTAGGAAAATGGCGTGAAACTACTACAGCGTGTTTCTCCGTGTGAGTGAGGTTCACGAAGGCTCAATTCTTCCCATCCTTCAATCCCTACATCTCCAAATCCCTCATTCCCAAAAGTTCAACAACGCACCCGTAACTCCTCCGTTGTCGCGGGTCTACGTGGGCGGCGCTGATTGCTTACAATCAGGTAATACTTGAGTATTCTTGTTTACCGTCCTATCACTTAAAAAAACAGGTTATAATAGTGATATTACTACCTAGAGTAACTTAGTAGTTATTTTCTATATCTTAACTATTTAGTTATAAAAAAACGTAACGATATTCTAAGTAACTTACTTCTCCAATTTGTGTAACACAATCCGCAATGTATGCATCGGACATTGTAGAAGTCCACGTGAGCTTTGTTATACCCGGTTGCACTTTCTTCTCACAAGCCTAAAAGATGAATAATACCATTTAGTATGGTTGTTAGGGAGCTCCGTAACCGTAACTGAAACTATTGGATATCCGATAAAAATATTATCCGTGACCGTAATTAAATTCGAAATAAAAGTTTCGGATAATATCGGATAGAGGCGGAGCCTAATTGAACCACGTTATGTTCGTATTTTACTCTTTAAATTCCTTAAAATTTTAATATCCGTCACCGAAATTATCCAAAACTGAATATCCGTATCCGTCACCGTATCTATATAGTACCTATCATAATTATTCATATTTGATACCCATAACATTTATACCATTTAGTAAAATAGTTTATTTTTGGCAACATTGGTAGAGAATAAAATCTGAATTATGGCTTAAAAGACTTGTATCCAGGCCATAAACTCCAAAAAAAAAATTCTGAATTAAACTCAAAAAAAAAGAATATTTGAATTATGTCAAAGTCCATGTTCTATAATGTCTACTTTAATATTATAATAATTTTATATGTTGTGTCAATCAACAAAATAAACAAGAAAAATACTCTCACTCTCACCAATTTTCTTTGCAATTAAAGTCATGAAACGCAACTGTCAAATTGATAATCAAACTTGTCAAAATATTTGAAAATTCGCACCAATCAAGTCAATTGACAACTAAAAATATTAACAATGAAAATAATTCATTTAATAATATAGTAGTTGCGTTTATTATTTTATCTAACTATTGTTTTATAAGTCAACATGAAAACAATAATGAATCTAGGAGATCCCGAGCTAGAACTTATTGACCCAACACCGAACGTTCACACTTTGTTTATACACTTTGATAAAATGTTTTTCTGGACAAAACTGGCTAGCAGGGCTGTCGTTAGATGGAGTAAAAGGATGTACTCCTGCGCTGGCATTTGCTCGTGAGTACATTTCATTTGTATGAATTAAAAAATTGGAAAACATCTGGTACCAATTCAGTTGTGTAAAAATTCAATCCCAGGTACGAGTGGAAAGCTTGAAATAATAAATATCTTGAACTAGGTGGTTAAATGGTAGTCATGTTTAATTCAACAAACCTCAAGCGAACGCGGGTTTCGCACACCTTCTATTTTGCCTCGTATTAGCATGATGTTAAGCAATATTTTGACTGCACGGTTGGTGCGGTGGCCGAGTAGCTGGCTCCCGTGCAACGTGCCGCGGGTTCGATTCCCGCACGGAACAACTCTTTGTGCGATCCACAAATTGTTGTTCCGAGTCCGGGTGTGTTGTGCATGTGAAATTGTATGTCTGTAACCCCACACAGGAGAAAATCCAAGTGTAGGGCAAGATTTATTTAAAAAAAAATGTAACTTACAGGTATGAAGGCAGGGGTGGTCTCTGTGACATTGCATTGAGTGAACCTCTACTGAAGCTGCGGCCTCGTAAGGATCTCATCGAGACCCTGCTTCATGAGATGATACATGCCTTTCTATTTGTTACCAATCGAGATCAAGATAGAGATGGTCATGGACCAAACTTCCAGGCACATATGCATCGGATCAACAAGTCCGCTGGACTAAATATTAGCATATACCACAGTTTTCATGATGAGGTAAATTGATTGTCATTAAGATTTATGCCTTGGTATTTTATTTTCTTTTCCTCTTGATTTTTAGACATCATTAATATGGACATATCTTTTCAATTAAATTAATATGAGTTATTAAAAATTCATTTTAAGTAATTGCAAACTTGACTTGAAGTAATATACAATTATTTATACATATTACAATATTTTACAAACATTTTAATATTTTTTCCAGGTGAAACTTTATCAAACTCACTGGTGGAGATGCAATGGTCGTTGCCAAACAGTGAGACCCCATTTTGGAATAGTAAGGCGATCTATGAATAGAGCTCCAGGACCCAATGACTTTTGGTGGGAGGACCACAAGAGAAAATGTGGTGGGACATTCATCAAAATCAAAGAACCAGAGAAAAAAGCCAGAGGCAAGGCAGCCCCTGTGACTAAACCAAATGCAGACATTACAAAATACATAACAAGTAACATAAAAACAATTAATAACATACCAAATACTACTAATAGTAATAGTTCTAGCAAACCTGTGCTGAAGGATTCAAGTAATACAAAAGGTCACACTAACATACGGTCAAATAGCTCAAGTACTCTGGTAGTCAGTAAGAAAGGAGTTGTGTTCAATCCCACTTCAGGGAAACCTCCAGCAAAACCTGTACCTCCTGTGCCACTTTTTACTGGCAGCGGCCAAACAATTACAGGAAGATCTCAAACCAATGACAATGTGACTGAAACAGTAAGAAATATATGGGCCAACAAACAAATACCCTTAAAGCCAAATACTAGTCCAATACTCCAAAAAACTAATAAAGTTGTAGATACTGGCACTAGATCTAACAAAGACAGCAACAAAGTTGTAGACCTTAATACTAAAAAGCATAAAGCAGATACTAATATAGAACCTCCAGCAAAAATTAAGAAAATTAGTGATCATGTGAATGCAACATCAATACTAAAAGACTTGTATGGTGATGATTATAAATTGACACAATCCAATGATAGTAAAAAGTTAATTGCTGTTAATGTTAAAGTAGATTTAGTTGCTTGTCCTATATGCAATGGAAAATTCAGTAATGAAGAAATTAATAAGCATTTAGATGAGTGCTTGAATAAGGACATCATTGAGAAACTGAGTAAGGATGAAATAGAAGAAAATAAACCTAGTACAAGTAAAACAGATAGTGTTCCTGCAAAAGACTTAGTTGAACCTGAAAGCAACAATAATGATAATAATGTAATAGACTTGACTTGGATACACAAAGAAACAACTAGCATAAATGTAAAGGGTAAAAGAAAGACTGAATCACAAGCTACATTAGAAATTGAGAAAGTTAATAATAGGATAGTTAGTAAAGAAAGTAGTAGAAGGAGATCAGATAGCTTCATTACCAAGGAAAGAGGGGATAGTTTGCCAAGCGAAACAAAAATGAAAAAGGTAGAAGAGGTTATTAAAATAGAACCAACAGCAGGGCCTAGTGCAGAAAAAGAATTTGAACAAATATGCCCATGCTGTGGGATGAAGTTTGATAAACCAGTTGAGCAACATTTAGATGAATGCTTGACATTCTTTGACAATAATTCTACAATACCTGATGAGGGAGCTAGTACTAGTTATACTAATAATTCAACTGTACTTATAGAAGACGATGAGGATGACATTTTTGATGAGACCCAGATACTGAATGCTACTGGAACTAAGACTCCTTGCCCTTGCTGCATGAAAATGGTCGAGATAGAGGATATGAATGCCCATTTAGATTTCTGTTTGAAGTAAAATTTGGGGTATGTTTACAAGGTCAGAATTTGCACTTGTAATGAACAGTTTTTGAATTAGATCATAATTGGTATGCACTATGCTGCCGTCGTAATCGTAAATGCAGTACTTGCAATTTCGCGGTTTCGAGAAAAACGCGGTTAAATGATTTCTTGTTATCTCTAGTCGTCTGGAAATCAAATGTATTTAAATTTGTAACTAATACGTATATTTTATTACTATGCATTATATATTTTAATTTCAAATATTTAATTTTGGTTTAGGTTATTTATAAAGTTGACTACTGCATTTCAACCTTGTGTTACTAATGGATATTATAGTCTATCACAAAGTGAAATGCAGTATTTGTGCTTATTACTGCATTCATGTCTAGCAAATACTTTTTACTGCATTTTGTGTTAGTAAAAGGAATAGTAAAGTCAAAATAAATACTATTATATACATGCAGTACAAAATATTTTAGACCCTTGAATTTAGGATAGTGTGTAAAAATAAAAAAAATAAAATTCGAATACTTTTATTTAGAGACCTTCACAAGGTCTAGTAGGCTTTTAATCATATAAACTTATAAAACAATCAACATTCATATAATCAACGTTATGCTTCAAACGGGACTGCTGCTCCCGATTACAAACAAAAACAAATAGGGATCTCAGCTCCCACCTAAAAACTAAAACAATAAAGAACTTAGAGCTAATAATGGCACTTTGTAAGTCTTAAAATGTATTAATTTAAATGCAAGTTCAGTCTTTACTCATCACAATCATCTACATCTAAAATATTAACTAGATCAATTGAATTGTCATTGGTATGCAAGTTTTGCCAAAATGGTAGTCTATTTTCTGGAATAACTCTAGTGAGCGTTGAAATAATTGCAGATTTTCTAGCTTCAGTGATACCCCTAGGACTTGAATTTTGTATGGGATCGGGAATTGAATGAGACTTTATGTGTTTCATTTTTAGGAACCCTATTTCTCGGAGTTCACCATCATGTTCGGTCTTTACAAATAAATTAAAATTATTCCTACGCACCTCGACACTAACAATATCTTTCAAATATATCCGATTTGTGCTCTTTTTCAATTTATGCTGCGATGAATGATCAATATACTTGTAAAAATCAGTAACTTCCATAGGTTTCACTGTTACTTTTCCGGAATTAGCTAACTGAATGCAATCAATGAAGTCTGAGAAATCATAAACTTTTTTTGCTCTTTTTAATTGTTGTTCAACCTGGTGGTGAAAGTTATCGGCTGACATAAAAGTATGTCCTGATTCAAGATATTTAATGGTAATCGTGTTGGCACATATCAAAGAGCTGTTAATTATCTGAATAAGAAATGAGAAAAATGCCCAATTCTTATTCTGGCTGGAACAGTTGTCGGCCCATACTACTATGTCAGTACTGTCGCGTTTGCAGATGAAAAACGCTCTAAAAGCACTTATTATATCTTCTTGTTTTCGTCCTGATATGGCTTCATGCCATATTGCGGCGAATGGCTGAGAGGTTGACTTAGTAGGCCCCAAAGGTACAAAACTCTCGTTGAAAGCTATTATTCTGGGACAAAAAATAGCAGCTTTAAACATATCAATACGTGGCAACATGATGACTTTTTGCAAGTCTGCTGAATAAAAAGCTTTTTCTGTGAATTTGGTCGATAAATCAACATCTTCTTGATAACATTTCCGTGCCTTCTCGTATTTTTGCTTGTGTAGTTTATATGATATACAGGTATCACAGGATGCGGAATCTTGACATGTGGGCTGGTGTAACTTAAAACTTTCACAGTCCTCGCATTCTTCATTGCCCAAAAGAGTAAAAGAAATATTCATGTCCTTTTTTAAAAAATGTCTGTATAATTCATAAGAAACCTTGATATCAGGGAATTTGTCTTGGAAGTCTTTAAACATTAAAGTCGCATTTAGATCACTAGGTAAGTATCGTTTGTTTGGTGCATGTTTTCTCCGATAATGTGCGATAGCAGGCCTAAAGCTTTCAATATGCTCTTTTAATTGATTTCTATCTATCTTCTCTTTGTGCTCTCTTTTCCCACGTTTGTCAGTTTGAGCATTCCATGGTTTTTTTATAGCATCTAATATTCGCCGGTCATTTTTTTTATTATAACCCAAAGTAGTCAAAAAGAATATTTTGCACACTTCAAATTTTTCGTTCGCTTTCTCCAAAAAATATTTGAACGTATTATTACGAGATAAGGTACTAATTTGTAAGCGTCTGTTAACGAGTTGTTTCTTTATTAATGACTGAATATAATATCCTTGACTTTCGTAATTAAGTCCCCAAAACTGTTGGTTAATATTCATACGGTCTGACTCTGAAAATTTCTCTCCACATTTTTTTTTGCAAGATGTAGTGCATGCTGGTTTAACACAGAACTTTTCAATTTTTTTTTGCTTTTTTGCTTCTTTTCTAGTGTTTGTAGATTCTGTATACAGTTTCCTAATTCTTGGTGTTCCTTTTTTTGTTGTGCCCTTTAAAGCATCACACACTAATCTGTTTGCGGCTTCATTATCTTCATTTTGCATAACTGAATCAGTTACTAGAATTTGATTATTCGATGTTGTTGGTGCATTATCTACGTCCGGACAGCTTTCGTTACTTCTCTGGTTTTCGATCTCTTGAAGACCTTGCGAGGTGGTAGGTTCATCTTCTGTGCCAAAATCAGCAACTGGACTGCCCATAAGAGAATGTGTCAGTGTCTCATTACACAACAAACCAAAGCTTTCATCTTTGGAAAAAGAATAATCTGAAACTCGTATATCTCCCAATGCAGCTGATGACAAGTTTAATGAGAAATCTGCATTAACCACGTCCTGTGATGAAGCGATATCCTGACGATCCGTAAAAATTTCATCCTCAGATTTTTTAGTATCCTCAGGTTCAATTTCAATAGTTAACGTACTTGTGCTCAGCTCAGTATTCCGCACAGAATTATCGTGGCAGACGTCAGTGTTTACTACCATATGTACTAATTTTCTAGCTCGGAAGTTGTTCGAAGCCATTTTACCTACGAAGAAACACAGTGGTCATTAAATTTATTCTAGCAAAAGAAGAACAAACGACATGTCAAAATTACGGACATTAAAGTAATAATAACGTCCTTTTTTCGGTCAACAAAGACTAAAGCTAATATACGCAGGATATGTTATAATGCACATGCACAAGTATTTGCGTAAACACAGGGGCACTCTAAATATTCCTTCAATCTCATAACCTCCACGAACGGTAATCCTACATAAGTACCTACCATACGATACGGACATTAACAAATCAATCAGTGAAAATTTTACAATGTTGTGAATATATTAACTACGATCTATCCGTTACTACGCGCCAAACCCAATTTTAAGAATTACCCATTAATATTGAACAATATCGATTATAAATATAATAAAGTCTAAATAATTTATTTTATGCGATATATTCTAATTGATAGAATCAAAACTGTTTTATGATGACAATTACTCACGAAACAATATCGATATTAGCCGCTCTCTAATCAATCAATAGACACAATACGCAAGGATAACGTCCTTATTATATATTGAAAGCTTAAAATATACAATTTTACTTTAATTAGCCAGTTCTTTAAAAAAATACATATAAATATACATAAATTGTAATTATACATAACTGTACTTACCAAGTAAAACGATAACAAGCCAATTGAGATCTGCAAATGCTGCGCCGCACGAGCGTGCGTCGAGTGCGCGTGACGATCACCGACTGAGGTACAAAGTTAACATGCAGTATGCGCAGTTAAAACACGTCGAAACTTGCACAGCGTCATCAATCGCACAACACTCAAATGCAGCGTAAGCATTTACTGCATTTGAGCTAAGGAAAGTCTAAACTAATACTACGTTTATTCCTATGATAAAAACATTACTGCATTTTAAATTAGTATTTCGAGTATTATTACTGCATTTTATCCTAGTTCATGTTCATTACTGCATTTATATTAACAAGTAGCGAACAAATTCATGCAAATACTGCATTATTAACTAGTTTTTCATTGATTTCTAAGTATTTTTTTCATTTATTTTTTTACTCAATAGTAAGATACGTGTCTTAAAACGTCATTTCGATAAAAATATCAATTTTGCAAAAATGTCGATTACTGCATTCTTCATTACGACGGCAGTATGTGCCAAATAGGTTTATCGAGAATTTATTTGTAGGAGGTGAAAAAGGAGCTTAGTGTTTCTGAATAGTTACTCCAACATGAGACATGCTTAACTTCCGTGAATTAACTGAACATGGCGCCTGCAGGCGGGACGTCACCCAGATCACGCCGCTTATGATAAGAGTCGCGTTGTGGTCCTGGTTTAAACCATTGAGTCAGGATTTGAATTTTAAATCTTAGTCTCACTTACCTTCAATTCGAAAAAAATAAACTCAATGGTTTAGATCTAGAAAAACCTTGTTTTTGTAATAAGGCCTATAGAGATTATATCAGTGACTTCATTGGTGTAACTCATTTTTTTTCAATTAAGTATGATGTTATATTGTTGTACTTATTGATTATATTATCTAAATGGTGTTAGTTGTTTTGGTAACTGTTGGTTATTGTCAAAAGTTCTATTTTAGTATAATAATGTTTTGTCAGTTACAATTTAATCAACATCTTTTCGCATATTCTCTTCATTAGGAGTTGTTCATTCTGAGATTTGAATGGTAGCTTTATGTCATTTGTTAACGAGACTCCGGGTACCTATGTATTTTTTTAATTTTAGATATGTAACATTTAATACAAATATCCATAGCATTTGTCAGTATGTTGTATTAGGTTGGTATTTACTTTACATTCCTTATTGTGCAAACAATCTGCCAATAATAATAATAATGTGACTTATTTAATGATTTTGTTGATCCTTTTATTAAGATGTGATATTAAAATAAATGTGATAATAATTTAATCAATTGACTGTTTTTTTTTCTTCTTGTAATAGACATTTGGCTGAACACATTCAATGTTTTTTCTGTACAGACAATCTCAGATGATGTAACTTCTACAAATATTTCTTGGCGATTAATTATAATTTGACGAGATACTCGACTAGTTTCAAGCCATGCTAGAGGCCCATATTCATGAGCAGCATTCCGCAATACTTTCAAAGAATTTTGTTACAAGTTGTGTTAAGTTAATAAATAACATTTCTTTTAAAACAATGAGTAGACTAGAGGAGACTAGGCACGCGTGCTACAATGTACGGTGTGCATGCAAGTTTTCATTATAAACTATGCTGGCTCTAGATCAGATTTAAAACACTTGACGCGCGGGTCACTGTGTAAGACGGAGCTCTCTAGGAAAGGTAAGTTGACGGTCACTACTGGGGGGTCACAGCCCAAACAAAAAATTTTAGGTTCTTATTAATTTGGCAACATGTTTGTGTCTGTATGGTGCCGGACGTTAAGAATACCACCATCCCATTTCTTCCCGTGGGTGTCGTAAGAGGCGACTAAGGGATATTTCCTAAGACCGTGCCTACTAATAAGCACTTTAGGTCACCGTGTGGGGTCGGTTAAACTACCAACAATAGCATTCCCAAGGGTGTAGCGTGTAGCGTCAGGCAGGCGGCCGACTGTAAAATACTAGCCAAAACTCTAAGCAATATGTCAGTTATGAATGGAATGCGCGATAGTGTTAGGGCGTACCCCGCAGGCGACGCGCAGGGGCAGCACCCGGCTCCTGTGAGAAATGGAACAGGGTTGTTGCACCAGCCCGGGCGGGTGCAACGTAAGAAGTTAGCTCGGGAAATCAGATTGAGGTATGCCAGTTGGAATGTCGGGACTATGGCTGGAAGGGCCAGAGAGTTAGCGGACGTATTGAAAAGAAGACGAATAAACGTAGCGTGCTTACAAGAGACTAAATGGAAAGGAACAAAAGCGAGAGAAATTGGTGAAGGATACAAGTTCTACTACTGTGGAAGTGATGGCAAAAGAAATGGCGTAGAAGTAGTGTTAGATAGCAAATTGAAAGAAAGCGTGATGGAAGTACATAGGATGAATGACAGAATAATAGTTGTGAAAGTTATGTTAGAGAATGTTATGTTGAATGTAGTTAGTGTGTATGCACCACAAGTAGGATGTAATGAAACGGTGAAAGAGAATTTTTGGGAGGATTTTGATACGGCCTTAATGGACATCCCTGTACATGAGGAGTTGATAGTGGGAGGTGATTTTAATGGACATGTGGGAAGAATGAGACGTATGTTTGAAAGAGTACATGGAGGATGCGGTTTCGGAAATCCAAACAATGAAGGAGAGACACTGTTGCAATCCGCTACTGCATTTGATCTAGCAGTAGCCAATACGTGGTTTCAGAAAAAAGATGAACACCTGGCCACGTATAAAAGTGGTAATCATAAGACGCAAATAGATTACTTTCTAGTTCGGCGCAACCACTTAAAGTATGTGATGGATTGCAAAGTTCTGCCAGGAGAAGACTTAGTCTCACAACACAGACTCCTGGTTATGACATCAGTGGTTCAAATTCATTGTAGGAAAACCAAAGAGCGCCCGCTCCCTAGAATAAAATGGCACAGGCTAGAGAGGAATGACTGCGCGAAGAAGTTCAGAGAGCGGGTGGTGGATAGAATGATAGAAATAGGAGACATGAATAATCGAAGTATAAATGAAAGCTGGAATGAGATGGCTGAGTGTATTAAAGGCAAGCAGCGAAAGATATTTTGGGAGAGACGAAAGGAAAGGGCAGAATAGATAGAGATACATGGTGGTGGTCGACAGGAGTTCAGAATGTATTGAAAGAAAAGAAGAAGAAATTCAAGGAATGGCAGTGCGTACAAACAGATAATGTTAGTTTGAAAGCTGAAAGAAAGAGTGAGTATGATGCTTTAAAGAAAAAAGCAAAGAAAGTCGTAGCAATAGCAAAAGCAAAAGCCCAGGACAAACTATATGATACATTAGACAGTCCTGCAGACCAAAAAGAGCTGTACCGACTCTCTAAAATGAGAGAAAGAAAGGCGAGGGATGTTTGCCAGGTAAGATGTGTAAGAGATGAAAGTTAAATGGTTCTATCGGATAACGACAAAATCAAAGAGAGGTGGAAGGAATATTTTGAAAGACTTATGAATGAGGAAAATAATTGGAGTGGGGTTTTAGGGAATAAACCAGTGAATGTGGGGTTAGTGAGAATGGTTAGTATGGAGGAAGTCAGAGTAGCAGTGAACGGAATGAAAAATGGTAAAGCCATTGGCCCAGATGGAATACCAGTTGAGGTGTGGAAGTTATTAAGAGTAGATGGATGGGTGTGGTTGGCTTTGTTCTTCAATAAATTGTTGCAGGAAGAAACCATACCTGATGAATGGTGCAACAGTTCTTTGGTGCCCATCTTTAAAAACAAAGGTGATGTCCTTGAGTGCAACAATTATAGAGGAATAAAGCTAATGTCGCATACCATGAAAGTATGGGAGAAAGTTATTGAACGGCGGCTGAGAGAAGATAGTGACATTTCACAGAACCAATTCGGTTTTATGCCTGGTCGTAGTACAACGGATGCCATATTTGCTATACGCCAGTTGTGCGAAAAATACAGAGGTGCACATAAAAACTTGCACATGGTATTCGTTGACCTCGAAAAGGCATACGACCGGGTACCTCGTGAGGTTCTGTGGTGGGCCCTTAAGGAGAAAGGTGTGCCTGGGAAGTATGTGCAGTTGATCCGATCAATGTATAGTCGCTGCAGTACACAAGTCCGGTCTGCAGCGGGCACCACTAGCAAGTTCAATGTGGCTGTCGGTTTACACCAAGGGTCAGCTCTCAGCCCTTACCTCTTCCTGATAATAATGGACGCTCTGACGTCAGACATTCAGGAAGAGGCTCCCTGGTGTATGCTGTTTGCCGATGATATTGTGCTGGTTGCCGAGAGTGCCCTAGAGGTCCAGAGCAGATTGGAGGTGTGGTGGCAAAGACTGGAGAGTGTTGGCCTAAAATTGAGCAGAACTAAAACAGAGTACTTGTTCTGCGATTTTGGCGGTCTCTCTAGTTCTGTGCCCATAGCTCTCGCCGGAACGCCCATACCAACCTGTTCTGATTTTCGGTACCTTGGCTCGCTTATCCAAGGAAATGGTGAGATAGACCGAGACGTGGCACATCGGATCAACTTAGTCACTGGAACAACTTGCGACCCACGGATGCCCCTCAGGTTGAAAGGTAAAATCTACAAGTCAGTGATAAGGCCTGTCCTACTGTATGGGTCAGAATGTTGGGCTCTGAAAAAGACGGATGAAAAGCGATTGCATGTAGCAGAGATGAGAATGCTGAGATGGATGTGTGGTGTGACGAGAATGGATAAAGTGAGAAATGAGTATATTAGAGAAAGTTTGAAAGTGGCGCCAGTGACTGAAAAGTTGAAAGGGAACCGTTTGTCTTGGTATGGCCATGTGAAAAGGAGGGATGAAAAGCATGTAACAAAAAAAGTCATGAGTATAAAATTTATGGATGGATAGGATAATGTGGATGGATAGAGAGGGAGGGGGAGACCAAAGAAAATATGGATGGATTGTGTGAGAAGTGATATGGAAGACAGAGGAGTTAGCGATAGCGTGACGAGTGACAGGACAGAATGGAAGAAAAAAACATATTGCGCCGACCCCAAATAAAACGGGACAAGGGCAGGAAGATGATGATGATTAATTTGGCAACATAATAAAAAATAAGTTTTGCAGAGAACCAACCCCTACGATTTTATTATGTTATAGAAATATAAATCATTTACTTGCAAAAATGTAGGTAGGTATGTTTGCATACATTTTACGCTATGCAAAGTATTAATTTATAATTTACCTACGTTCGAGTGCCTGAATGGATAACTATCGTACTCACCATGATGAGAGGTCTGAACAGCAGTCTCTCCTCGTCAGACAGAGACTCCAATATCTTGTTGTATCCCTTCACCACAGCCAGTACGCTCTCGTATACGTAGTTCACAGTCGAGCTTTTTGAGTAAACCTAATATGTAATACATTTAGAGGTTAACATCTTTTTCTTTTGAGGACAGAAAATAGTCTAATGACTTTAATGACTTCTTTCTCTGGGTGGGGCGCGCGAAAGTGTTAAGACTGTTACTAACTAAAAACACCTCCGTTCCCTTGCTCTTGGCCGAGGCCGCGGCTTATTGCGCTTGCCCCGCAACCCCGGCAAGCTATCTTTTACTTTATAGGAACTGCCCTTAATGTTAGATTTGTACAATGATCATGTCAATGAAGCATTTTCTTAAAAAATGTTTCACTTTAATTTTTACCTGAAAAGCGTGTTGAGGGATGTCCATCAACAAGTTCTCCCAGTGTGCCGCTTCATTGCAGAGTTCTAGAATGTTCCTAAAAATAGAAACATAACCTGATAGCTTGGGTTGTAGTTCTTTGTCATAAAAATTATATCGTTCACAGTGAATTGTTGTCCTGTTGCTATTTGTGGCTCTTATTTGCCTTGGTTTGTATAACAGCGAAGTCCAATGCTGGATAGATATAATAGGCCTTCCCAAGTGACTTCCTGATTGATTTTTATCGGCATAGGATAGCAAATGAGCAGTCGAATCTTACACAATCAGCGCTGCCCATGGATACCTGCCACAATGGAGGACTTACGAGTGCGTTGCCGAAGTTTTGGGCATTTAGGGATAGGGTAGGGGAAGGTCAATCACACGGCGAACCACAATGCTGTAGTTGTTTTACGCCAGTTTCCTGTGAGGCCGTGGTATCACTCAGGACGAGCCGGGACGTTCAGCTGAAGCATGGCTCTCCCACACTTAAAACCCCCCCCCCTTTATTACATAGGTACGGTATATCTAATATATGAACTTACACATCAATGTTACACTCCAACAGTCCAGGGTTATCAGCGCTCTTTCTCATCAAAGTCTTGTTCAGCCCGGCGCCACAGTTTTCATCCAAGTTGTGCTGTTAAACATAATAAAATGTAAAGATTGCTTAAGTAGTAAACTCTTTAGTATTAATTTGTGATAAACGTTTCTCTGATCTAGATTAGGCAAACTGCAAAGAACGAACGAAGAAGAACGATCAAGTCCGGATTTACATTTACGTCCTATTACTGTCAACAGCGCATATTATATCTATTTCAAATCTTTTTCTTACTTGGGACAAGCTTGCAACACTTCTTATTAACTGGAATCAGAAAATCACTGAGATCTCCCTTTGAGGCGCTACTTACAAAGGACCTTTACAGTACCTATATTAATCTGTTCGATGTGACTAACCGTCCAAGCTATCCAGAGTTCTCTTATGGCTACATCGATAGCTCCCATCAGTCTGTTCACGTGCATTATCACATCTTCAGAGCTGCTGCAGGGCAGTAGCCACGCAGACGCGTCTGTCATTACCTGTTAAATATGAATGAAAATGGGGAAAAAATATTTGAGCAATGTTAAGGCAGATGGTTGGGTCCTTTCAAAATCTAATACATTATAAATAGCATGATTCATATCTGAAAATATTCTTCACAACATTTGATATGATTTAGATCTGGAAAGCCTTTTGGTCATTATTTGTGTGATGTGATTTTGGAGATAATAAATTGGAGAAGACCAACATTTTACGTCCGGTTACTCGGAGAAGAAACACGAAAAACAAGATTAGTTGGATATATTATGATCTAGACTTGTTAAAAACAAAACTTATCAGAAGATAAGCAAATCAAATTTTTTTGAGAGCAGTAGCATACTATTTAGCTTCCCTTCTGGAAATTTGTGAGTATTTAGTCGACTGTTTTTCTCTTTTATGAAATAAGAAACAAACGAGCAGACGCGTTCACCTGATGGTGACCTATACATACGAGGAGTTAGGTACAGGAGCGTTGTTGAACGTTTTAGGAGTACTTACGCTCACTTATATAAAGTTTGAAGGTCGTATCGGTTCGGAAATGCGAGTGCCGAAAGACCATATAGATTTACCGAGGTCAGTATTGAAAACAGAACCTTTGGAAAATAGGTCTTACGTTTTTTAGATAAAGAAGGCGATTCTTCCGCATCTTGAGCACGGACGCCCTGCCAGCGTATGACGGCATGTCAGCTGGGTAGTGGCTCCGTGTGGATACCATGTCCTTCTTCGACTCTTGCACCTCTTCACTGAACATCGACCACATCTGTTCGTAATATTTTTTGTATTAGTTTTACAGTGCCTAGTCAAGTTGACTTGTTAGACGAAGAATCAGATCTTTCTTTTACACATATTGGTCGTTGGTTGAGTTTGTTTGTTTGAACGTGCTACTCTCCGGAACTGCTGGTTTGAATTGAACAATTCTTTTTTGTGTTTGTTAGTCTATTTGTCAAGGAAGGCTATAAAACATCACGGTTCGATCTGTAGAAGCCGAGCAGCGAGTGAAACCGTCCGAGAGTAGCTAGTATAGGAATATAGGTAACTGCATAGTAGCATTACATTTTTTGCTTAAATAGGTACTTCTCTAGTTTAGGCCTTCTCCTATGTTGTGGATGCGTTTACAAATTTACACACAGATCCGAAACAACAATTTGTGAACCACACAAAAGACAGGAATAGGACCTATGAAGAACGTAACTATGGGTTTATACAGAACTAGCTCCCGCCCGTGGCTTCGTAGGCGTTTAGGTAAAAGTAATGTAGTTTTATAAGAAGTTATATTTATAAGGCGGATAATATTCATGTCAGTAGACCTCCGAAGTCTTTCTCCTGAAGACACGTTTCAAGTTCTTCCGTTTAGAATAGTTATTTAGGGAATACAGTGCGACCACAGCCTCCTCCACGTGGTTGACGCCTTCAAACACGGTGTCCACCAGATTCTCTATGATAATCTGCAATGCGAAAGTCATTTCAATAGTATTTATAATGTTTCTACCAAGACAATTTATAATCATCTATAGGGGATTTAGTTTATTGTCCTTTTTTTTTACTCATAGGTCGCCAAATGAGCAGACCTCCTACCTGATGGTAAGCAATCAACACCGCCCATGGACACTCGTAATACCAAAGAAGGTACTACAAGTGCGTTGCCGGCCTCTTGTGGGTTATTAGGGATTTAAGGATAGGGGATTTGAGGATTAAGGATGGGGGGAAGAATTGGGCCTCCGGTAACGTCACTCACATGGCAAAACTCAACTTAGGTGTTGCTTCACGCTGGTTTTTTGTGAGGATTGATTTGATTTCTATCTATATTTTTTTAATGTTAAAACTTTAATGTTACCCCACTTTAGGATTTTCTCGTGTGTTGTGGGTGCGTTATACACATACACATGACACCCAGACCCACACAATTAGTGGATCTCACAAAGTGTTGTTCCGTGCGGGAATCGAACCCGCGACACGCTGCACGGGAGCCAGTTGCCCAGCCACCGCATCAACCGTGCAGTCAAATCTATATCTTGCAGTATCTTTTAGGAATTCACCTCTATATCCTTGATGACAGTCCTGAAGGCTAATATGTCATCATACCACGATGGTGCTTGCACGTCCAAGATGGTATTTACCACACCCTTTACGTCCAACAAAGCTGAGAAGAACATGCGTTCTATCTTCTCGCATTTGGCCTCGAACTGTTCGCCCCGTGCCCCACCAAAGCATGGTTTGCTTATAGTTTCGTATTCGTTAATTCTGGAACAGAAAGTATTCAGTCAGTAACATCGTCTATTACGTTTGCATTACGTTTATATGTATGATGCTACTCTCAATATTATTACCTGGCTCGGAATTTGAAATTTAGAAAAGCAGTGAATAACCAGCAATGGGAACAGTATAAAAATAGCAGGAATAGTTTGAAATACCTAAGCGCGTGAAAACCGTAGGTAGGTACTTCGAAACGAATGAATCGGCTTGACCGAAATGATACTACGGCCGACACAGTCACGTAGTGTTCCGCTGTGTGAGTGATGTCGCCAGTCCTTCCCCTAATCTCCAATTTCGAAGTCCTCCAATTCTCAAAACCCAGAAACCTAGAAACCTGTTCATGTTGCAAATGTTCTTGGGCGGCGTCGATTCCTAAATAACAAGTGATATGCTCGATTGACGGACAACCCCATAAAAATGCAAATGAATTTGAGAGACTAACCTTCCGAAAATAATCATGCAGTTACAAACATCGAGCATGTCGAAGCACCTTTGAATGAACGAGTCGATATAGTTGAAGATAGATCCAGTGTCTAACTCCCAGCTGTTTGGATTCTCCTCGTTATGAGCCTCCGCCATCACGTCGTAAATCTCCCTATACTTCTTGCAGCAATCAATGCACTTACTAAATTCACCTAAAGCTTTGATCGTTTTTCCATCAAAAAGATCATCCAATTTAATATAATTCCGGCAGAGAATGATGATCTGGTTGCTTAAAGCTTTGAAAAGATTTGTGATTCTCGTTTCTGAGTTGTAAGTCGGAGATTCCATCCAGATGAAGCGAAATAAGTTGATAATATTAGGTATGTGCTTCGCTATCTCGTCAGGGTCAACCACGCACTCCAGGACTGCACAAGGCTGCTTTATAATCTGCAAGAACTCTATGTTAGATGTCGCCTCTCGGACCTTTCGGACAATTTCTTCGCAAAGTGTTTGGAATTGGTGTATGAAGGTGGAATGTGTGGTGACGAGGATCTTGGTGATGTGTTTCACTGCTGGGTTTTTGAGTTGGTGCAGCAAGGCGTTCAGGTTTTCATCTGTGGAATAAGGATAACTTTTAGAGTTTATAAATATTTTATGATGATCATTTTATCATTATTAAAATGTGATTTATAGCACAGACAGGCTAGAGAGGAGAAGAAGAGGTAAATTTATCTCTTCGTTTAATCGCGGAGTCATGAAGTTTTATTTGTAATATACTTACGTCTATAAATCCAGAAATCATATTCATCGCTAGGACACAACAGTTCCTTCTGCGATGCAACAAAAGCCGTATCTTCTAAGCACGACTTGATCTGGTGGGTCCAATAGACCACTACACCTTCAAGCCTTTTCACCAGCTCACGATCTGCACTGGCTTTTTCGAATGACAGGTTTTGACCTTCCCGAGGTATGTATAGGACAGTTAGACCCAACATTTTATAATACATGTCTGTTAGTTTAGCGAGAAACGTGTGGATGTGGGTGCAGAACTCGCTTTTGACACCTGAAAAAAATAGGAAACGACTTAATTTTTTATAATCATTGGTAGGTACCGGTGCTAAAATTAGATTTTTATGACTTATTTATGACTTATGTTTTTATTAGTTTTATCTGATTAAAGGTTGAAATTAATTATTGACCTCAGTGCAATCAATACATTATTGGCATTAGTTGTGTAAATGATTTTGTCAGAAATTTTAGATTAAGATCAATTAGGTATATTAATTTAGGTTGTATGAGATCAAGCTTGTTCTAACCAATCCGTAGCACATTCAATGAGATACGATGCTTGTCTTTGAAATAACCAAACCTTGAGTGACCTTGAGGCTTTCCAATTTTTTGTAACGACACGCCTATTGAAAACATAATCCAGAGATAGTAGTACAACTTGATACTTACTATCAGGCCAAGTAGTAATGGCGAAGAAATAAGGAGCATACACGTACTCCATCATGTTAATCACATTCGATTCAATAGAATCCCTGAACGTTCCGAAGACGATATCATCATGAAATGTTTCAGCTTTAAACACAAAATCAGGAGGTCTTATGAAATATGTCAAATCATAAACAGGCGTCAGAGGTATATCATGACTAGCTTTAAGCTTATCCCCTTTAAAATATATGCAGAGTATGAGGTTCTTCGGTTCAAGGAACCAGCTCTCGATCTGGTCTCTTGTTTCTTCTGTCCAGTCTTCAGGCCGGAGGTCAAATATTGTGGTCATCCTTACGACGTAGTCTACAAGCTTCTTTAACTCTTCTGGTTCGTAGATTGGCTTCACTGGCGTTTGTTCTAGTTCACGTTCTAGCTGGGCTAAGCGTTCGCGTTCTGAAAATTGGTAAAAGCATTTCACTGATCTATTGCCAATCAAAAGCCTGACGGCATGTAAGGGGACAGGATCTAGTGTAAGAGCTTGGAGTCAAACAATAATGCTATTCATTCAATTCGATAAATCAACCATCTCTGAATAGCCAGAAAGTCTACTCAAACAAGTAGACTGCCGAGGTTGCGGATGAAAGCACAACGATGCACCGCATCCTAGCTCAGATCAGGAGAAGGAACTAGTTTGTAGCGAATAAGAGACACTGCCTCTACACCCACCATTTCTCCTCTAGCTTTTGCCCGCGACTCCGTTGGCGTGGATTAGTGAGTTCCTGCAGATTTTTGTTATAAAAACTATCCTATGTCCTTTCTCGAGTTCCAAATTATGCCTGTAAGTACCAAATTTCACAGAAATCTGTTCAGTAGTAGTTTAGGCGCGAAGAAAAAACAGACAGACAGACAGACAGAGTTACTTCGACATTTATAATATTAGTTTGGATTATTTTTAATTGAATACACGTTATCCTTGCGAAGATAAAAATGTTGGAAAAGTTAGTAGCATTCAAAAGTTAATACTAAAGTAACATTGTCAAAGTAAACTTCTTAATTCTGTTTTGATTAATAACTGTCATAATAAACGTTTGGAAGCATTAATTAAAGAAAAATCACCTCTATCTTCTTCAGAGTCGTGGCTCAAGTCATCGCTCCAAGCAATCTTAGGCCGTTTTACCATAGAGGGAACTATTTTCACAAACTCCTCCGGCTTTTCTTTCTCCTCCTCCGCCATACTGATTAAAATCACCTATATAAGTACAACAATTAACTAAATCGGCAACTTAATTACACAATTAAATTACGTTAAAGTTATTATTTATTTATTGACATTCCATGTTTTCCGAAGAAAACAGTAGAATGACAATTTTTTTTTGAAAGTTCCCGCCTTTTCTTTATTTCATTTTTTATTTTTGTTATTAGTGTGTTAGCGGCCAATTTTGTAGCTTGTTTAGCACGTTTGAGTTTGTATATCGATTTTATTCGCCATGGTAACGTACTCCGAGTCATTGAATGCTTTCATGTCGTCAAGGTAAGATTGGGTTGTTTTAGTTACTTATTTGTATATAATATGCTACGGTCCCTTGAGTGTATATTGACAACATGTAGCACTGAAGTGATTTGAGCGAGTATATATTTTCATATGGGTGCATTAGGTCAGTTCACGAGCACACTTTGGGTTGGGAGAATTTGGATTCGAGATTTGGGGATATTGAGATTTCAAAGTCCGGAGAAACAAGGGTTGTTTGTTGCCATTTTCAGTGCAGCTTATTTTTGTGAGGGGAAAATCATCAAATGACTACTCAAGCTTAGGGCGAGGCGAGAGGGAGCTGCTCGAGGCCGAGGCTGCGGTACCTTATTGCACTTACTCCGCAACCCTAACTGAACACGACAAACATACCCATTGAACAAAATACAATTAATCGTATGATCTGGATCTGGAAGTCGTCACCCAAGTGTGGGAGAGCCAAGCTTCGGCACGAATGGGTCGGCTCGACCGGAGTGATACCACGGCCTCACAAAAACCGGCGTGAAACAACCACAGCGTTGTGTTTCGCCATGTGAGTGAGGTTACCGGAGGCCCAATCCTTCCCCTCTCGCGCTCTCTCCCAATCCCTAAATCTCCAAAACCCTAATCCCTAAAAGGTTGGCAATGCACTCGTTACTCCTCCGTTGCGGGTGTCCATTGGGCGGCGCTGATTACTTACCATCAGGTAATCCGTCTGCTTGTTTGCCGATCTATTCCATAAAAAAAATAACCCACTTCTATCAGCGAGGAATTGGGTGTGATGTTGCTGAAATACTTAGGTAGGTAATTATGGTGAACGTGATGGCAATCTATAAATCAAAATAGTCTGCTATTAACCTATTTGGCGTTACCTTTACCGTGATATCTAGTCTTTGGTAATCAACGTGTATCAACGAATGTCAAATTGAATAAGTCATCCGTGTATAATTAGAAAAAAATATTTACAAAAATAATTTCCCTATTTGATTGATATGTGGTGTGGGTGTTAAAAAACGTCGATATTATTACTAACCGATTCTTAGGGTCGGTTTCAATTTCTGCAAGTTTAGTTCTTTATATTGGTGAAGTTTGGATTTCGTCGGTTGGACTAACGGTCAATACAGACCGTTGTGAATCATTATTGTTGATTAGTTCCATTGTGATCACAGTGTTATGGTGCTTCGAAGGTGGGTAAAAGAAATCATTATAAAGATACTAGCGGACTCTCCCCAAAAACCCCAAATTATCAAATTTCAGCGAAATCGTTAAGGCCGTTTCCGAGATCACATGTTTTTTCAAACAATCAGCGCCATCTGACGGGCTGATTTGTGAATCTAAACCATCTAGGGCGCCACTCTAACTGAAGTGCACACAGAAAAAATCATTTAAATCAGTCAAGCCGTGTAGGCAGGAGGAGTTCAATGACATACAGACATACAGCAGAATTATATACATATATAAAGATTAATAGTGATTCGGTACCTACTAAAACAAAGTCAGGGTATCTAACTTTATTGGGCTTAGCATTAGATTATAATTAATTATTTAGGTATCACTATTGCCCTTGGTTTTCCAAAGTCTTTTAAATAATACGTTGGTAGCTTTTTCCGGCGTCTATGATTCAAATGTAAGTATGGCTAGGTTAGTATACACAGCATTCTGTAAATATTAAGTTACACTTCTAAATAACAAGGCAGAAATTCGGAAACTAAATAATAATAATTAAAGACCAATTAGCCATTCGCACATAGTAAATAGTAGACATTTAAGGTGTTTTATAAAATTATTAAAATTAAGAGTCTTTGTGAACCTTCTATGAAAAGCTCGGTAATTACCAACTGCGAAAGTCAACTGGCTTTCGATCTGGGAATCTGCTTAAGGTGTTATTGTTACTGAAAAATGCTTATTCTCACCTCTGTGGACTCTTAAAATGTGTTGGATTCTTAGTTGAGCAGCCAGAAGTGCTCTTGTAGAGTGCAGGTTTAATGAAAGGCACATTCAATTCGATAATTTCAAAAGCTAGAGCCTTTTTAAAGGGCCCCGTAAACAAAAAAGAGTTACCATTAACATCATCGATAGCTGAAAAATTTAGGACAATGCCACTATGTTCTTTTAGCTCTGTTATTCACATGAGGCACCGTTGCCTCGGCCTAAAGCAGGAGAAGGAACGAGGGGTTTTTAGTCAGTCTTTCATTCTCTTCCCGTTTACCCTGGGCGGGAGAAGCCATTTGATGATTTTCTTCTGTCAAAAACAAAGTTATGTTATTTATAGTTCTGTAGGCATTATATACGCATTTTAGAAAAGCAATGGAGGATGGAAGTAGGAATTGAAATTAAATAATAAAGCTAAAAATATTTTTAAGTTGCCGGATCATATAAATGGTAAGTTTGATATAAAATTGTTGGCAGACACAGCTAGCATGGTCGAACAAAATGTTGGATGGCGTGGGGCGTGTTCACGTTCAGTAGAGACGGGCGCGCGCGGCTGGCCGGAGTGCTGCGCGCGCTGCTCATTGCCCAGCTCGTCGTCTCCTTGTGCATGGTCATCTTCTGCTACAACACCAGTCTGCGGGTGATGCTGCTGCTCAAGCATATACATAAGGTTTACTACTTATATCTTTTTTTTATCTAATAGAACGGCAAGCGAGGCGACATATTATCTGATTGTAATGACGTCCGCAACAATGAAGGAGTCGTCTCGTCGGCAAGTACCTTGCCGATTTTTTGAGGATCAGTGTTTTGGAGATTAAGGGATTGGGAGAGGACAAGGATCGACATTTTCTTGTTATTTAACAAAATCATTCTATTGGCCTTATTTCAAATTTCGTTGCCTCGATTGCAATTTTATCTTTTCTTGCAATTAAATTCAAATTTAACTATAAATGTGATACTAGGTAACAGTCCTACTCTTGTATGGACTGATCCTATTCCAAGCTTACGGTATGAAGCTCCATTACACTGGAGGACTGCGCCTCATAGCCGTGCTGCTGAAGTGTCCTCACTGGAAGCGAGCGACCCTTGTCAGTAGCGTGTGGCTGGTCAGCGGCACGTTGGTCGCTGCTAACGGCATGCTCGTGTATGCTGCCTGCAGAGGGACTTTGAAGGTAATGTAGATCTCTTCCTTCTTCTTAGATCTAATCATCAGATTTTGTATGGTTTTAATAAGTATAATGGATTTTTTATGTGATAAATCGGCAAACGAGCAGACGGATAACCTGATGGCAAGCAACCAACGCCGCCCGCAGACACCCGCAACAACAGAGCAGTTACGCGTGCGTTGCCGACCTTTTGGGGTTTGATGATTTGGAGATTTAGGGATTGCGGAGGGATTGGGGGAGAGGAAGGATGGGGCCTCCGGTAAACTCACTCACACGGCGAAACACAATGCTGTGGTTGTTTCACGCCGGTTTTCTGTGAGGCCGTGGTATCACTCCGGTCGAGCCGACCAATTCGTGCCGAAGCATGGCTCTCCCACACTGGTAAAATTTTAATGTTCCTAACGTTCCTTTACGACATGAGCTAATGATACTACGCCATCCTACGTCTTGCTACGCCCTGACGTAGACGTAGCACAGTTTCGGATAGCGTAGGTACCGCTATCCGAAACTGTGCTACGTCTGCGCTTTGCTACGCGAAACTAAACCTCACTACAGTTTGCTACACCTTACTCAGCGTACTACGCGTTTACGCTACGAAATTCCCTAAATGACATGAACAGACCCCATCATTTGTTCTTTTTTTAACAACTTGTCTCGCATTGTTCTAACACATAACATGTACAATAATGTAATCTAAATAATGTATAAGGTAGTTAAAAAAAAAAATTTTTAGAAGAGTAACGATGGAGTTTCTTTCTCTTTCTTCTCCATTCGAATCTACAATTTGGAACGAGCACCTAGCTTCACTGACGAACAGACTGACAGACTACTATTCTAGTTTGACGTTTCAAATTCACCCATTATGGTTTAGTTGGAATAAATGATTTTGCTTTGACTTTGATTTTGAAATTAGACTGGACACAGATCTTCTGAAACTTATTTGCGATATTGTATTCCATTTCACTAGGCTCTGATGAAGGAGTTGTCGTCATCGCTACGTATCGGTATCTCGCAGTATTTGACGGAGCCAACGTGGAAAGCGCTCCTGGATACAATGCAGGTCAGTTGGATAACTTTCGTTTTTTGAAGCAAAAACGAGAAGGTTCTTCTTGCCTAGGAAAAACTAACTTTTTTATGGTATAGGTCGGCAAACGAGCGGTCGGTACCTGATGGTAAGCAATCAGCGCCGCTAATGGACACCATGCATCGCGCAAATGAAGAACGAGTGCATTGCCGGCCTTTTAGCGATAACGGTGTCGGATGTTTAAGGATTGGGAAGGGATGGGAGAAGTGGGAGGGATTGGGCCTCCGGTAACTTCACTAACACGACGAAACATAACGCTGTGGTTGTTTCACGCCGGTCCTCTGTGAGGCCGTGGTATCACTCCGGTCGAGCCGACCCATTCGTGCCGAAGCGTGACTCTCCCAAACTAAACATGTTAAGGTGATTTAATTCGAGTTTATTGTCATCTGCTTGTTTGAATAATATTTGTGGTGTGTTTTATTTACTTGCAGGTGGAACTGAGCTGCTGTGGAGCGGACAAGCCGACAGACTGGCACGAGATACCTTGGATCAACATGGATTTTCTCAACGAAAAATCCGAATTGGTTATGAAGTGAGTTCAAATACAAAATAAAAAATCGCATTAAAGCGCTAATTGCTAAAAAGGTATAAAACTTAGTACATATTTATAGTCATGCAACTTTGTGAACTTACCTACTTCCTTGAATCTAAATCCATAGAAAATGTTTTAATTTATTTAGTTCTGGAATTGGTAACAAATAGTTATTATTTTATGTTTAATAAATTACATTTATTTGTATAATGATCATGAAAAAGCTTTTACCCAAATAAATTACCATCCATATTTTGAAGTCGCTCGTTTAAAATGATGTCCTATAGGTTAGCGGGTGCAGACGGTAAGGTGCTGCCCCCTGTGTCTCCGTACTCATGTTGCACTCCTCGAGTGCTTGCTCCATGCTACCACGACCCTTTACAACAGGTAATCATCATTAGTTCTTATTTTTTTTTATGATCAGACTCTTATTGAATAAACATCTACCGTTCGTTCTCCTGCTTTAGACCGAGGCCGCGGTGCCTTATTTCGCATTTAACATCTGCCCTGTCTGTGCTGGTTCATTGAATTTGCTTACAAATACAGTATTCAGTGTATCATTAATCCGAAGTGCACGACTCGTCACTTGACTGCACGGTTGGCGCGGTGGCTGGGCAACTGGCTGCCGCGCAACGTGTCGCGGATTCCCGCACGGAACAATTCTTTGTGTGATCCACAAATTGTTGTTCCGGGTCTGGTTATGGTGTGTATGTGAAATTGTGTGTTGGTAAACACACCTATGATACAGGAGAAAATGCAAGTATGGGGAAAAATTTTCTTTTAAAAAAGTCTGCGCATTGAAATTCAGCGTGTATTGTCCGGAGGTTGTCTTTGGAGCGTCCACAGCTGGTAGTTTCAGTCACTGAGCTATCGATGGTAATTTTAATAGTTTTTTTGCGTGTATTCAGTCGGAGTGGCGCGAGGTATGGTCGGAGTCGTCCCCGCTCCTGTCCGCGTCGCTGCACACGCGCGGCTGCGTCGAGGCGGTGCGCGCGCCCCTCACCCGCGCCCTGCTGGCGCTGCAGTGCTTCAACATGCTCGTCTTCTTGTTCCAAGTCAGTATCAAAGGGAAGCAGTAACAAATATTAGACTTAAATACGCAGAAATTATTCCAATAGAATTGAACTTCGACTAAATAAATAAATACATAATAATTTATAAAGTTTTCTCATTTAACATTTATTGTATTGTGTTTTTGTAAATGTATTTAATTGCTACTTAACCCTTTGCGAACTAAAAAGAGAGGTAATCCTAGAATGAAAATTTATTTGTAACTAGCTTTTTCCCGCGTTTTCACGCCCGTCTTGTTGTTGTTGTTTGTTTGTTTGTTCTTCTTCTCAGTCTAAACTAGATCCCTATCATTTCTTAAAGAAATTGGATTTTCTTCTAGTGTTTAATATCATCTTTGTGTGTTTATGACCACGCTTCCCTATTCTGTACCTAAACACTCTTCTACTGTATCTATCTAATGTCTATATATTATAGTAATGCAATTTTATTATATTTATATTTCCAGATCCTGATCGTGGTACTGACGCAGCTGCTGCGTACGAGTGCCCGCGAGGCCGTGCTGCGCGGGGACTGCAGCGGGACGGGCCGCGCCGTGCTACTCGGGAGCCTGCCGCTGCAACTGCAGGTGGGTACCTAAGTATTGTCTAGCAGTCCTTGTTATTCTTATATAATTTTAGGTACTTATTTAATTAAATATTACGGACGAACCACTATTTAATTAATAACTCCTCACAAACTACAAACATGCAGACATCTTTTAATCATCATCACGCATCAATACTGGTTTTGAATTCAGGGGAGCGCTAGTGGCGGCCATTGTACGAGAAATATCTAGGTGACTTGCAGTGTGCTATAGTGTGGAAAGTTTGGACAGCCAGGACTTGGTGTCCAAACTTATTATTTGCTTCTGCACGTCAAGATTTTTTTTGTCATGTCTTCATAATGTATGCCATTCATCATCACGGCCTAAAATGATGTCTTCCGCTTAATTTTTATCGAAATTGATTTATTTAATATTTTACTCAGGTCTTCTTTTTTGTGTCGAATTTTTTATAAATTACGATGAATTATTATCATAATATAGGCATAGGTACTATTTTTTTAATTGAGAGATTGCAATGAAATTATTATTTGTATGATTTCTTTTCTACGTGATGGAATCATTACCTCAGTGCTGTTTGATTTATCCAATAAATAACCCTTCATCCTCCACCTCAGCGCACGACATCGAGTCGGGAGGAGGAGCTACTGGCGTGTTCTAGTACGAGCGCGGGCGCAGCGCCGGGGACGAGCTACTGCGCGGACTACACGCGGCGCGCGCGCAGGCGGCACTGCCGGGCCAAGACTAGGCACAGCTACCCATACTTGTCTTAGTAAGCGATTTGTTTTAGTTTATATTTATTAAAATATTTACCTAGCTTACAAAATATATCGTTGTCTTCATGATTTTGTTTCCGATAGATTTATATGTTACACTACTTCATATAAATTAGGATCTATATTAGATTTTATCTGTTACCTAAGTAGCGGCTAGCATGTAGCATTTCGTCTGCCGATTTTTTTATGGTATTGATTAGCAAACAAGGCGATGGCTTTCCTGATGGTAAGTGATCAGCGCCGCCAATGAGTTTAGATCTGCTTTTCGGTACACCAGGGGTTAATCTCCGAACGGGTACATAGAGGTAGGTCTTTTATTGTATCGTCATGGCACTGTCATCAGACTATTAGACTTATTAGACAACTACAGATGGGACCCACTATAGCCAATGTCCATCCCCAGAATGGATCTAATCAAGAAAAGTATCGGGTGGTTTTTAATCAGTATGACACCCAGTTTCCGGAAGGCCGATCAATGTTAAAATCAATTTAATCTCTTGTCAAGTCATCTGATTGGTTGACTGAATTATCAACAACCAATCAGATGACTTGACAAGAGATTTAACAGGAGAATAGTTAATTTTAGCGTTGACAAGCCTTTCAGAAACCGGGTGTGAGTCTGACACTCCCTTTCACCCTACTCAGGAAGAAAATGTCAACAACATCCACCAAAAAAAAAAAAAAGAATGATATACAGGTTTGAATCTGACTAAGTCTTCGGAAACTATCCTATTAGTTCAGGTGACACTCACACAGAGTTTTTTTTTGTTTCAGGTGTTAGTGTAATTGTACGTGACTTTTTGAAACTTGTGTGTGGATATTTCTACTATTTACTGCGTTTATTGCGTCAGTGATTCATTTATTGGAACTTAACTGTGAAGTGTAAAGCTTATGTACTTTAGTTAGCAACAATTTTATAAGAACTGTACATAATAAACTAATTGTAAATAAAGACACAATGTGAATCAATGCAAAGGCTTTATTTTCGACGTTTTATAAACAGTCCTTACTAGCTAATTATTAAGTAACGTAGCGCGGATGCGAATGTTTAGATGTGGGAATGTTGGGCTCAGAGTGGGGGTGGTCCGTCGGGGTATCGGAGGACGGGGTCCAGTAGGGGGCGGCTGCGACAGTCCTGGCCGGCCTGCGGGGCCAGCGCGGCGGCCCCCAGTAGCAGTAGTAGCAGGGCTTGGAAGGGCAGGGAGGCTCGGGCCACTCGGCACACGAAGCGCAGTCCGCGCCCCATGCCAAACAGCGCGCCTTCTTCCCCGTTATCTTCTTCTTCGTCAACCACCGCCCTGGTAAGCAGATACATGATCGTGTTAGTTTATTGTATTTTACCCCTTGTTTCGAAGTCGACACATCAAGGCCTCCAAGCATACTTATGTAATTTGATGTGCCGGTATACAACTTTTATCTTGCTGATACTTTTGGTGTAACAAATATTATAGTATCGACTTTACAAAGAAAGAAAAGATTGCTTAAAAGTACACCAAAAATTAAGATTGAATGATTTTTTTTCAGTTAAATCCAGATCTTTTTTCAATTTAGGTTTTTTAGAAGAAAGAAGACATGACAGAAAATAGAATACGAAGGAATTAGTAATAGTTTCAGAAATAGAAATAAGAAATTAATAGATAACTATGTAAATTAAACTAAGTTGTAACTACATTGGAAAAACTTGTTACGCAAAATAAGAGGTGGTTAGGCTGTATCACTCAGTAAATCTAGGCTCGGTAGTTGTACGGTACTCACTGGGTCTCGTCGAGTGGCGGCAGGTGCAAGCCCGAGAGGTCCTCTTCATCCTCCTCCATTAGCTACGGACGACAAAATACGTCAACATACGGTGCGAAGCGACTACATCGTGGTATGTACCTACTTACTTACAAATACTGCACGGATGGCTAGCATTTTTTAATTTTTTTTTCAAAAATATACTAAAAAATATTGATGTTTTGGCCAAGATTGTATATTTTAGATATATCTATTTCAAGTTGTGTTGCCATCAGTGCAGTTTTTGTGTCAATATCAAATACTTAATACAACTCTGTTCATCATCAATTTCAACAAGATCTATTTCATTTGAATCGATTGCTACAATCTATGTCAGTTGTCAGTAAACTTGTTACAGTAACTGTTCGTGTTACATGTTGTGTTCTAACGAAATCGAAGCTTGCTCAGTGTCTGCCATTACAGTGCTATGGCGGGTGAAGCGTGGGTGAGGCGGGGTACAATGTTACACGCTATTTCTTTATGTTAACTGTAACTTGTTTTTGTTTTTTGCTCAAAGTACAAAGGCATTAAAATATTTGTGATAAATTTTGAGTTGAATTGATAAATTGTCTGTTCAAAAATGGAAGTATTTTAATGTTAATGTGTTTGTGCAGTAGAGCGAGTACGTGTGTGAGTGCGACGCAGTACCTGTGGCGCGAGCGTGGCGGCGGCGGCGGCGAGTGCGTGCGCGCTGTGGGCGGGGCGGCGCGCCAGGGCGGCGCCCAGCTTCAGCGCGTACACGGCGCACAGCTTGCGCAGCGACTGCAGGCGCAGGCGCAGCTCGGCCAGCCGCGCCTGCGGGCCCGCGCCCGGCGCCAGCAGCGCCGCCGCCTCGTGCAGCGCCAGCACGCGCGGCTCGGCGCGCCGCAGCTCGTCGCGCAGCTCTGCGAAGCGCCGGAAGTCTCGCTGCAGTTCCGCCGGCTCGCGTCCGAGGCGGAGGGGCTCCCGGGCGCGGACCGTCTTCTCTGCGGCGGCTAGCTTGGCGACGAGGTCGACAACAATATCGTGGAACTCTCGGTTGTGCAGCAGCGCACGCTGTAGCTGGGCCTGCCAGTCGTGTGCGCGTCGACACGCGTGGTCCCAGCGCGCGTTGGCGGCGGCGAGACGCGCGCGGACGCGCTCCGCCGCCGCCGCCGACCGCGCATGCGCCGCCACGTGCGTGCCCACCACGTTCAGGGATACTACGATCGATTTGTGCGAGTCCAAGTCCAGGAGGAATTCACGATGATCCTACGAGGGAGATAAATCATTATAAAACCCTTATCTATGAATACCTATATTAAACTAATTAATACAAAATGAGACACATTGCTAATAAATTATAAACTAAATTAGTGCTCGTAATATGACCACGTACCTGTATAACATCTTCCAAGGCGTCGTACTGCTCGGGCGGGCCGGTCCGGGCCTCGTCAGTGGCCTCAGCAAACTGCAGCCACTGCTCGAGCCGCCAGAGGTCGTTGTCGAGCTGCTTCCAGTTGCGCTCGGAGCACAGCGGACACGTCAGCCGACCAGACTCACTGCGACGGGAGATACCACGTGTACATGACGGTACGGAACTTAAGACCGACTTTTTCAAACATCGTGGTCCTTTTACACAAATAGGACCAACAATATTGAAGTTAATGTAATTACTTTATAAGCGTAGATAATGATTTTAATCTGATTAACGTAGAACATTAACAAAAAAATAAAAGTACTTTTTCTAATTAAAATCTAAATACCATTAAATTCAACATCACAAAATAATATTTAACAATATACATAAACTGGTACTAAATAAATAATTGAGCTGTAGGTGCTCATAAATGTATAGACAGACACACAACACAATCCCAATGTATAAAGCTTAATAATACAAAAATGTGTAAAGTGCAGTGCGGATACACCAATAAATACAGTGTAATTATTTAAATAACTACTGAATAGGGTAATACTGATTAATATCACATCATGCAACATCGCACGCATTTCTGCTACACAGACAAGGATTAAGACAAAACCAGATAGGACATTTTTAGGTTAGGAAAATGGCGATGCAAAACTTTGGCAAAAAATCTATTTTCTATAGTAACAATCAACCAAGAAATTAAAAAAAAAACCATGCATTACGTGATAAAAAATTCAAGTGTAATAAAATTTACAAAGTGTAAAACTATACAAGGCGAAAAATACACAATAATCTTAATCCTTTATAAATGTATGTAGCAGAAATGTATGGAATAGATATAAAACTACAAATATTAGGTTAAGCAGTACTCACTGTTCGCACGTGAGCGCGTACGACGCAGAATGGGGCAACCTATAGGATAAAAAACGCAACGTGTTTAGAGCATGCCGGGTTAGAAAGCTGTTACACACGTGACAGAACCCAGGATAAAACTGATACGCCAGTGTGTAGATGCCTTATTTCAATTCAGTGCTAAAAGTCGACAGTGATTATCGAAAAGGAGTTTTAAAATTAAAAGAAGTAAAGTATAAATTTGTGTAAAAGTGGGACTTTTGGAGGGGCTTTCCTAGGTTTATATTATTCCCTGGTTTTTGGTATAAATAATAAATGGCGTATCTATCTATCTGGTTTTTGGTATAAATAATAAATGGCGTATCTACATTTTATCATCTAGTCTGTGCACACCTCGGCATTTTGATTACAACTTTCTTAGATATTATCAGTCTTTTTTTATTTACAACTACTTTGATTTTATAACAAATCAGAGAATCGAATCAGTGATATAAATAATAATACTGTTGTATATTTGTATATGTAGGTACATATAAATGCAAGAAAATAATGTACAGTCAGCCGCACGTTATAAACAAATTCAGACCATTGTTGCCTTGAGAAATGGAAATATTTTGGTCCTTTTACATTTATTATTGTGTGTTGCCAACTGTACGCCACCGATATAAGTTTCACTGTTCATTGACAGCTTTAAGCCCCGTCACCAATTGCCAATCAGTGCTATAAGTGCTACCATATAACAATCATCAAATAACAACATTTAGATTTAAAATACAAGGACATTTCACATGATGACTGCAAGAAACTATAGGGATAGTGATAAAGTTTGCAAGAATGTCGTCAAATATGCAAGTAAAGAATAGGTCAGTTCAATTCTTGTAAAGGCAAGAGAGTAAGACAATTTTGAGAAAGCATACATTTCAAGAAGGATTTAAAGTCATGCTAGACCTAAATTTAACGTAACAGAAATATAGATTTAAAA